TGTCGGGTGTGGTGCACGGGAGCAGATAGCGCAATGACCGTGCAGCCGCGCGCCTTCATTGCACGGTGGCAGTGGTGAGTGCCAGGTGACGTAAAAAAGATATATATTCGCAAAGTCTCTACAAAAAGCGCTGGTTGTGAAGCCTACTTTAATATTAAAAATACTATCGCACTTTAGAAAGTCTGTGGAAAATAGCATCGCCGAGCTCTTACAAATGCGGCCTGTGATACTTATATTAATAATACTAATACTATTAATATCGTCTTTACTTTGAAAAGTGTGTGGAAAATAACATCCCAGAGCTCTTACAGAATACCGGTCTGTGAAGTCTACATTAATAATAATAAATATCTCTATTTGAAAAGTGTGCAGAGCTCTTAGAAAATAAAGTGGTTACTGTGCCCGATTTGCAGTACATACGACAGGTTTTGCGCAATAATCAAGTATCTGCTGGCTGTTTGCAGCCAATCGATGCGTTTCGTGCTATGCAGAAATGTTTACCTTACGTCCAATCGCGAGGGCGATAGACGGTCTGATCGTGCAACAGATCCAGTCAGTGTCGCAGGTCGGTCGGTATTGCCCAATCAGGGCGCGAGTTAATCGCGTCACGCATTTGGATATATTTGTAATTTTGGCATAGTTAGGTCGAGTCAGAAAGGTAGGCGCGGTCGGTAGGATGGGAGGAAACTGTATTAGACAGGCCGGGTGTAGCCATGCGAAAAGGCAGGAAAATACAGCAAGAAAGGAACCGGACGGACTTATTGACAGACGGACGGACAGGCTGCAAGTTTAGGTGGCGGGAAATGCAGCTCTCCGCTTGTATCGCTGCGATACTCGCTGCCTTTGAGTCCGCGTCGGCATCGCCTCAGTTTCACTTGAGTCTAGTGGACAAGGAGGACAATGGCCAGGTGCATTACATGGTGGATTGGGTCACGGCGTCAACAGTGAACTCGTCCCGGCTCATAATTGGCACGTCCGCTGACGACCTGAGCTCCACTGTTGATGGCAAACTTGCAGGTTTAGTAACAGAAGCTGCCGGCGAGAATGTGGCGTGCTGGTCTGCGCTGTTGGCCAATCTGGAAGCAGGCTCGACGATTTATTACGCACTCGAGTCGGACTCAACCGCAACAAGTTCACTGGACTTTAATGAACTGTCAAAATCCGATAGCTCCGCGTCGAGCGAGACCATGAGCTTCGCAGTTCCGGACGGAGAGATCACGTGGGCTGTATTTGGTGACATGGGGGCGCCCATGCAGGGACATGCAGCTGCAGTTTCGTTACCAGCTTTGAAGGACGCACTGTCGGCTGATGAAGCGTACAACGGTGTTCTAAACATCGGCGACCTGTCGTACGAACTCACCGGTCCTAATGGACAAAACTATATGGATGAGCTTGAGCCGATTACATCAAAAGTGCCTATGATGACAACCGTCGGCAATGTACGCACTTTATTCCTGGTTTTTGATGGCAAACAGGCTTACTAACTTGCATTACGAACGCTGTTGCAGCATGAATACCAATACGGGTTGTCACCTTCACTTGCTGTCCAGAACTACTACCGTCGGTTCCAAGGAATCACTCTTGGTGCAGGTGCTGCCAGTGGATCAGCCTCGAACGAATTCTACAGCTTTTCGTCGGGACTCCTTCACTTTGTGTTCATCAACACGGAAGTGTACGGCGATGAAGCCTTTGTGGCGCTGCAAGATGATGGCACGTGGAAAGTAGATGAAGCAGCACGAAAAGCGGCAGGAACAGCCCAGGCCAAGTGGCTCGAGTACGATCTAAGTCGTGTAAAGCGCTCCGAGACGCCATACGTGGTCATGTGTGGCCATCGTCCACCGTTTAAGACCCCGAAAGCTCTCAGCGAGCCAGGAAATCGATTCGCAAAGGAGATCGTTCCTCTTATGAGCAAGTACCGAGTGGATCTGTACCTTGCGGGTCATGAACACACCTATTTGATGTTCGAAGCGTCGACTTTCAACGACTTTAACATCCCTCCGATCATCATTAGCGGCAGTCCAGGCAACAACGAGTATATCCGCGAGGAAGCTGAACTTAACATACAAGGCTTTAAGTGGAAGACACTGATCCCTAAGTACGGGTATGGATTCTTGACTGCAACAAAAACTGCATTGGAATGGCAATGGGGCTCTGCAGCTTCGGATGCAACGAATGATCCCTCCAGTGCCACGTGGAAAAAAGAAGACGAAGTGAGCTTCCCGAAGCAGACCATCTCGACTGTGTACACTCCCGCCGGTTCTGCTGTAAGTGAGCCAGTTGACGTAGCTCAAGAACGGACCAGCGCCTCCGGTACGTCCAATATGCTATATACCTTTAAGCTATGTGTCTTAGTAACTTTATATTGTGATGCTCTACAGGAAGTGGAGCTGGTGGCAATAGCGGTGCTGCCAGCACAACGGGAGGCACTGCGGAGGAAACGCCCGGATCCTTAGCACCATCCAGCTCATCTGCAGCGACTGCATCATCAGCTGCTCAACTAAACATGTACTACGTCATCTATGGTGTCATCAGTTTAACTGTAGCCATGTCACTTTAGTGCAAGACAAAAGCTTCCCTGCACAACAACAAAACCGCTGTCTCGAATTCAGTTCACCTTTCATTCAATGCTACATCCAGCACCGGTAGTGGTAGAAGGAAGCCTATGGACTCTGAGTTTCAGCCCAGCAAGGCTGTTTGTCCGACAGAACGTAGAGCAAGTCGTCGCCCGTAATGACTTCAAACGGCTGAGGGTTCACATAGACGTATCCAAATGGCACACTGCGGTCCTTTTCCGGGACTTCGATGCGAGCCTTAGACTCCGTTTCATTGGCAGCATTCATGTACGGGTGGCATCGATACAACCCAATCATCAAAATGTCATCCGACGACAGCAGATAGTGGAAAACGTACTCGAACGAGCGTCCCACGAAATCGAGCGGCACCTCGACAGCAAAAAGCGAGCTGCACTCAAGTTCTGGCTTGGATTTATCACCACGCAAAGTAGCCCACGCCTCGCTCGCACGGGACGTGAACATGAACTCGCCCAGGATTTTCTTGATACGGCCATTGAAAAACTGGTTGATCAGTATACTGTCACACAGCGACGTGCTGTACGTCAAGCCAGACGTAAAAGCAGGAGAGAGGAAGAAGTTGCGCGAGAACGTCTCCGTTGACGAGAACATCGTAAGTTTATCGTCTTCATCAGCACCTGGGAACCAGCCGTTCGCCAATAGATTCTCCGCCACGAAGTGTACACTGGCACGGTTCCCCAATTCAGTGATAACTCGTGGGGCCTTACTCACACCAATGTAGCTCGTGATAAACCTGTGGAGCGCGATAGATTCCTACAAGGTGATAATAACGCAATCGTCAGTGACAGCGTCAATAGGTAAAGTGATAGAGCTACGACGAACCGCATCTTGAAGCAGCTCAGCGCTCCC